CGATTTTTTTCTTCTCAAATCGAATTTATAATCTCTCCTGAAATTTACTGGTCAAATGTCCATAAAATTTCAATCTTCTCCGCGCAGTATGCACTCTTAAGAATTTTTGACTGAAATTTCTACAGTTCCTCTGGCGTTTCGATGAATTTCATCATTAAAATTTGAAAAAATCACAATTTGATGAAAATATCAACGCGAATTATAAATTTCCGTTCAGTTATTTCATGAAAATTCATAGAAATTATCCAAAATTATCAAGGGATGTTGGAGAAAAATGAAAACAACATTTATCGAATTGTCAATTGGACATTGGCAAAATCACAATTAGATAAATGTTTTCATTTTTTTCCAATATCCCTTGATAATTTTGGATTATTAAAAATAATGGAGTTGAAGCAGAACATACATTGATAGAAATCTTTTCTAAAATTCACACCTCTTATTAGTTCCTCCACGAAATTCAAAATTTTCAAGAAGTGTGTCGAAAATTTCTGCCAAAAACTTTCAAGTGTTCATGTCACAATTAAAAACCCGGATAAATCGAAAAATTCTCGTCTTTCTGCGCTTAAAAAATTTAGAATTCTGTTGAATCTATCGAGAAAATAGACATTTCATGATTTTCCCTCTCAGGGCGAATTCCATACCGCTCCTCTGCAAACAACTGCTGAACTGTGATTTTTTCCTCACTAATATGCAACGACGAATGATTAATATGGAATTTATTGAACTATTCGAATTGAGAAAAACCCTTTGAGCATTAATTTTAACTCAAAGCTGTAACGGTAAAATCAACTGTTCAACAACTCGACGCCTCTATATAAACGTTCTTATAAACACTAAAGATTATAATGGAATTCCGTCGTCGAGCAGATAAATCAAAGCAACACGCTCTGCCCCTTGGCCAACTACCTATGCTAATTCATCCATTATTTTTACTATTTTCATTTTTCATCATCCGAGGCAAAGGTACACAACACCGTGCATCGCAGTAAAATCAGTGCCCTGAGGGCATTGAAAAACCTCAGGTACAAATTATAATCGATAAAATTTCGATTGTTGTCGATTGGAATTTTTTAATTCTCCCTCGAGACGATTAATCATCGTAGATCGGGAGTTGTGAAAGGGCCCTTACAGTTGAGAACAATGTGGCCATTTTTATATTTTTAACAGTGAAAACAACCCATTAATTTCAATTTCACTTTATACATATCAAAATAAAGGTTTTTATCGATCACAATCACAAACTTTCTGTTCACAATGCTCGGAGAGGCATGTGCCACGACATTAACATGACCTCGTCAAGTCATGTTATGGAGTCCTCCTTCATGACGAAGAAAAACCAGCCATTGTAGGCGGTCATATTTACATCGAGTCAGCAACATTCGACGTACACAAATATCTGCATTCGTTCCAGTTGCCTTCTCTTTTCCCTCCTTGAAATTCACCATATGAATTGACGCTCTTCATGAATGCATTTATCATCCGATCATCATCATGCCGCCGTACAAATTTGGATCGCAATTCGCTGACGCAATGGCGCCAGTGAGAATGTTAAAAGGAACAACGTATATCGAGAAAAATCGGCTGCAAATTATCGCTGACGTTCAGTTCTTGTATTGTTGAACTCTTTTGGCTGAAATTTTCTCTACATCTCTTGGGAATTTTTATCAAATACACACGTAGAAAATAGAGAAAAATTACCGAACAATTTACTGAACGTGAACATGAATATTCAGAAATAAAATGACATGAATTTTCAATTTCCCCTTGAATTTTCCTCATTTTTCTGAATTTTCACGGAATAATTTAACTGAAAAATCAAGTATTTTATTGATTTTCAGATCATTTGAACTGAAAATCAATGGAATATTTGATTTTTCAGTGGAAATTAAACACGACAAAAATTTCCAGAACTCGACACGGAAAATACAGACGAAAATTTTTAACAGAATTAGGGATTCGCGATCACGAAATTCAGTGATTGCAAAATTCTGAAATTCAGTGATCTTGTCACCAATTTTCAGTGACACTATCGCTAATTTGCGCTGACATCGTAACTAATTTTTTTTTCACGGACCCATCTAACATTTTTTATCTTTTAGAATCTATAACCAAATTTCAGTGATAAATATCGCTGACGTAAGAGTATGGACATTGCAACCTGTGAGAATAATAATGTTCCATTGAAATATGTGCAAAACACTAAGAAATTTTTAAAACAGTGTATTTTAATTAATGTGTCACACTTGTGCATTTCAATCTATACCATTTGAAAATGTACAAGAGAAATTATTTCACTTCAGAAAAGTTACTAACAAGCCATTGGAGAACCTTCTACATTGTTAGAATAAAAATAAAATTTCATGGACAGTTGACTACTAATTTTCAGGACAATGACACTGAATGCAATTTAGGAGAAAAAATCATGAAGTATCAGGTTTCACTGAAAATTCATTGTAATTTGGCACTGAATTTTCCGTTTTGAAATCTGACTTTTCAAGATTTTTCCCCCTAAATCGCATTCAGTGTCACTGTCCTGAAAATTCAAAAATATATTTACCGGAATTTTATGGTTTTCCATTCATTTTCAGAGAAAATGGAACTGAAATTTACAATTCTCTTTGATCTTTCCGCGAAATGCAGATTTTTTAATGACGAAATTCCTTGAAATTTCAGTGGTAATTAAATTTGATAAAAGTTTCCAAAAAGTGTACTGGACATTTCAGACAAAAATTTTTCTCACAGTTTATAGAATTAATGTTATTGCGAAATATTGCGTGTGTCAGACACCAAGTGTCATTAATCATGTAATCCTGGTTATTCTTCCAACAAAAAATTGTGGCGGTGTTAAAATGCTGTAGAATTGGGAAAATACAGAATGAATTTAATATCACTGAAGGATTTTAATCAACTTCAAATGTGCTAGGATTTTTTCAACCGTGACTACGAGAAGTGAAAAAAAGAAGATTTAAAAAATTCCCGCATAATGGTTTTCTCAAAGGTACATGCTGACCGATTATGTCGTCGTGTGTGGGCTCTTATGGTCGTCCTTCCCCCCCTCCCACCCCCTTCTCGGTCCTGTGCTGCATGTAAGGGGTATAACATTGACTTTCTCATGGTATATTGTTCAACGATGTTGACTAGGGACGTTATAAGCTAGCCACTACCTGCAAGTTGGCTCCCGGGCGCTCCTTAACGATTCCACGACAGAAAACAAAACGAGAGAAAACGATAAGGAAAGAAGAAACATCATTGTGGGTGTGGAGTTGAGTAAAAGAAGTTATGGAGGTTTGTGGTGAGCCTCGCAGAAAAAATGACTGGAAAGCTCGAGTAAACGGAGAGAAATTTTTTAGAAAAATTCTGGTGCTAGCACGGAAAAAGCGGCGCAAAGTGACGGCCAGGAAAAAAATCCAGTGCTGACACTGGAAATTTTATTGGGGAAAACGTGAATTTTTCCCTGTATTTCTGTTAAAATTTCACAGAAATCCCCAGGAATTTTACTAGAAATTCCGAGAAATTTTACGTTAACGGCACAAGAATTTTTCACAGCCGATGGATTCTGATTTTTTCGAATACTCGTATTAGAATTTTTCTGAAAAATTTCTCTCCATGTAGTCTTGGCGCAAAATTCTGCCGTAGGTTTTGATAGAACACTTTGATAGAACACTAGATACACTTTGATAGAACGGTAGGATAATTTTTATCAAAAATTTCTCTCTGTGCACCGTTAAAAAATTTTGTCTGGAATTTGCGGAACACTTTTCGCAAATTTTTATCGAATTTAATTACCACTGAAATTTAAAGGAATTTTGTCATTGAAAATTCAGAATTTCGCGGAAAATTCAAAGACAACTGTGAATTTCAGTTCCATTTTTCCCGGAAAATGAATAAAAAATCAGGAAATTCGGGTAAATATATTCTTGAATTTTCAGAAGAGTGACAGTGTGTGATTTCGAGGGAAAAAAATCTTGAAATTTCCTCTTTTTCAGAAAATTCAATGTAATTTGGCACTAAATATTGACACTAGATTGGAAATTCAAATAAATTAAGAAATTCTCAAATAAATTAAGAAATCTGAAGTTTCATAAATTTTTCCCCCAAATCACTTTCAGTATTACTGTTCTGAACATTAATAATCATCTGTCCATGAAATTTTATTTTTTTTCCTAACAGTATGTGTGGAAAAAATTTTGAAGAATTTTTCCCGAAATCCCAGCCAAAAATTTTTAGCACTGGAAATTGTGGAATTCCTACTTCGTATTACTCAAAAACGCGGAAATCTGTTGAAATTCGAAATTCATGTTACTTTCAGTAAAATTCGAAATTCAATCATTTTTCCCCCTAAATCAAATCCAATGCGACTTTCCCAAAAAATACTACTGAACTATCGCTGAAATCCCATTTTTTCCGACATATAAAAAATGATATTCAGGTTGCGAAAAATATTCCCAATTCTAAAATTGGGAATATCCCCCCCTCCCGTGCAGCAGCAATTTGCAAAAACATTTGTCCACATGATGCATTATCCCCTCGACATTCTCCAACAGTCACAGCAAAACTAAATTTCCATTACATCAGAATAGTGAGAAATAAATCGATGTAACAATACCTCCCTGGCATATGATGAATGTTACGGTTTTCTCATAGTTTTTTCTCCTCAAGCAGTAAAAATGTCCTTATGCAACGAGCCATCGATAAAGTACCCCACGAACAATGTGTGACTGTCGAAAAAATCTCCAGACTTCTAATATTACTTGGATATCCTTTGAGGGACATTGTTTATATTCGAAGATTAATGTGACTGGGGGTAGATGAAAGACAGTCTAAACGAGCATTACTCTGTATCAAAAGGAATGGAGAGTCACTCTGTCGTAATGTGACTGCAGACGTAGTGGCCCAACGTTGCTTACAAATGTTAGAAACAATGATTCAGTGTTGAAATATCTAGTAATTTCTTTTAATACTTTGTTTCAATGAAGTTAACAGCGCTTCAAGAAATGTTAACAATGTCATCCGAAAATGAATTACATTCCTCAATATATTTTTATTTAATTTAGTAATAAAGGCATTAATTTCCCGTCAGAATCGATTCAATTTTTACTTACAATTCACCATTTAACTAATTTGCGGATTAGCATAAAGGATGTCATAAGGAATTATGTAATTATCACGAGGCTAGAATATTCTGTGTTATACTTTCATGTGCACTAGAAAAATATCAAAGAATACTTTCCCAGGGGTATCGAACCCTATTTTTCATCGCGATGTGTGGAAAGTGGGATTTTTGCCAAATTTTACTTTACGCTCAAGGGAAAACAATTGGTCAGTGACATACCTAGTAATTTTGTACCATAGCTCGTTTCAATGATGTGTATAGTGCTTCAAGAGCTCTTAACAATGTCATCCGAATGAGGATCAACTAAATTTTCCGTCGCAATTGGCCATTTTCCTAATTTTTGAATTCGCATAAAGGATTTCGTAAAGAATTATGTAATTATCACGAAGCTGGACCATTCTGTGCCACAAGTTCATGTGCGTTACCTCGTCATTAATTCCGGAACCATCAGTTACCTTGGAAGATCAAGAATCATCATTAACCATTGACCCCCCCGAGCAAAAGACTCGAATACAAAGAAGATGAAAAAAATGATAATATCCATTACTTTGTCGGCATCACGAACACGATTGACCTGGAGGTACTTGAGGTGGAAGAAGAGTTCATAAGCCCAACAGTCAATGGTCTCCGTGTTCCTAGTTGCGTTGGTTAGCTCAACAGACGACTGACACGTACTGGTAGCCAGTGCTTGCAGCCAGCGTTTCAACTGAAATCCGTGAAAATCATTAATCCTCGTGATTTACGGATATTCAATTTTCGATACAAAGAGAGGAGGATGGAGGGCCATTACTATTGTGGTGTCGGATATTAGCTGGACAGCTGCTGGCCTCATGACACTTATGAAGCTCCCGACTGTCGTATTGTCTTCTTTGAAGGATGTTACGCAAGCTGACAGCGAGGTGCCCCAATCTGCGCACGGACCACACTGGGCGTTCTTCAGTTCTCGTCTTTTTCAGGGGAATCAAAAGGCGAAGTCAAGGGTACAGTGATTACTTTCACTAGTTGAGGCAGTTCTTTATCACGCCAAAAATAGCGAAAAAAATACAAAAAAATATGGATTGCGTACGCGGAGAGAAATGTTCAGTAAAATTACGGAACTCACAGTTCGCTCACCGATTACGGAATCGACTCAGAAAATTTAAGTGATGGTATCGCAATTTTCACAGGAGATTCAGATAAAAATTACGGAACGCTCCGGAAAAATTCCGTGACAGTTCCGTAAAATTTCCTAATTACGGAAAAGATACGTAATTTTTATTGAATATTTCTCGCCGTGTACACGGAGCAAAAACTTCAGGAAAAGTTACGTGACAAACCGTAAAAATGAGGCAAAATGCTCTTTCGTAAATTTTTACGTAAAAACGCGGGAAAAATCCGGAGCAGAAATAAATTTGTTCTCTTGAGTTCTGGAAATTTTATGGATCGAATGAAATTTTTACGTGCTAAAAGGCTATTTTTACGTGTTGAAAGGTAGTTTTTAGCCTCGGCAGGCGCAAAACGCGCATTAAAAAAATTTCTAGAAATTTCTATCCTGTTTAATTTCCACTGAAATTTCGGGGAATATTGACATTGACAAATATTGACATTGAAAAATCAATAAAACACTTGATTTTTCAATTAAATTATTCCGTGAAAATTCACAAAAATCAGGGAAAAATTGAAAATTCATGTCATTCTGCTTCTGAATATTCACGTTGCATTGAAAATTCAATCAAGTTGTGAAATCTCCATCTCACTCACACTGAAGTGGTAAAAGGAGATAAGTCAATTTTGGCTATTGACCAGTTTTCAATCAATATCTCGGAATCTAAGAGAGATAGCGAAATTTTCGTAATCACATTTATTGTAGCTCTCAATCGGCTCCACAAAAAAGGTTATAACAAAAATTTCGCTATCTCCCTTAAATTCCGAGATATTGATTGAAAACTGGTCAATAGTAAAAATTGACTTATCTCCTTTTACCACTTCGCTACTGATTTCATCAATATAACCAACAACTAACTTTTGAAAGAGCATAGAAACAATCCTCTCCACAAAATACAACGACGGAGCTATCACCATATTTTTGGTGCACGTTGCCAGTTTACTAGCGACGTAAACCAGAATTTGTCCAAGTGCTCCAGGCCGACGACGAGTTACGATACCCCGGGGCCGATGGATTTTGTAACACCGGCGTTTGCAGATGCCATGTCGATTCCTCCCTCGCTCGTACGTTGACAGGGTGCAGTAGCTCGCCAGAGACGTCAAGTCATACCCCGATTGCCCAATTTTTGCTTCATGAAAAATGCATCTGTCATTACCTAACAGTTCATTGCCCCATCATGAATGCAAGAGAGATTACCATCGTAATCCGGAGCTGACGTGACATCATATTCTCCGATGGTAGACGATATCGATCTGGATCCCGGGTGCCTGTTGATCGTCTCCGTGTCGACACTTCCGGCCTTGGGTGCATAGATCTCAATTATACCGTTGAGATCACTGACTTTGCTCGGGAAGCCCTCCAAACACTTCAGTGCCTGTAAAATCAATGCTCGAAAATATCGAGTGCCGCAGGGGTAAAACAATTGATACTAAAATGTAATGACAAGGAGATTCTGAGGAACTTATGGTTCTAGAAGGCATTGCAGTGAGGATATGAGACCGCATTATTAAAAAAACAGAAATTTCATGGATCGTTGACTATACGGAGAGCAATTCTTTAGAAAAATTCGAGTGTGGATACTGAAAAAAACTACAACCGTCTGTGAAAAATTCTAGTGTTGTTAAGTAAAATTTCTAGGGCTTTGTGGTCAAATTTCTGGGGTTTCAGTGGAAAATTCATTTAAGTACGAGAAAAATTGACATGCTACTCAGTAAAATCTCCAGAGCCAGCACTGGAATTTTTTCCTAGGCGTCACTTTGCGCCGTTTTTCCCGTGCTAGCACTCGAATTTTTCTAGAGAATTTCTCTCCGTGTAGGGGAGCTAGTGCATATACCGCCCACCTAAGGGAAATGAGTCGTTTTTTCCAACCCCGCTCTCTACAAGGAGTCATAAACGGTTAGAATGGATTCTTCGAGGTGTTTACTCGAAGATGTGAAGAGGACAGATTTTTTATTAACATTAAACATATTTAAAATTATGAAAATTATGAAAATCATTAAAATTAGTTTTTATTCCTTCGATTAAAATTCCACTTCACTTCAATAAAATTTCCGGATTAAAAATAGAATTTTATTCCTTAAAAATTCCCGAAATAAACAACCGGTCACACGATTACGTAGGTTGTCACATAATGCCCCCTGAATTTTTCTGTCCGATCGTAATGCCGAGAAGAATGTTCCCGATGTCATTGAGACTGACGTAAATATCAGAATGCATCGAGATCATGACTAGCCTCATTGCAAGATGGATGGGAAAGTTGGTGTGAATTAACAGTGAAATCACTCTCATGACGCGGATCTGTCGCTCAACTAAATAAATTCCATAACCCATTACCTCTTTCTGCAGGCGTTCCAGGCAGGACGGCACGAGTTCCTGATCCTTGGTTATGTCTGATATTTCTTGCATTTTTAAATGGGCCTCAGTAGACTATCCCACGTGAATTTCGATACTCATTCATATTGAATAATCCCGGAATATTACGATCCTGGGATCGTATTTGTACGACTCTAGGTTTTTGAAATGTCAAACAAATGATCAGCTCAATGAAGTTTGCGCATTCATGGAGATTAATATTCGAAGGGAACAACTTGTCTTCATTATTAGTGGCGCCTTGTTCGGTGGTTTAGGATGCACAAGGATTTTGAGCACTTATTTGTAGATTATAGTGAAACATCAGTGATTTTATTATTTAAAATTCGATTATTTTATTATTTATAATTTTATTTGTTAAAACTGTGAATTTTATTATTTATAATTAAATATACAACATATAAAATAATTGAAAGAATGAAATATGTAAAAGACAGTGCACCACACGAAGAGAAATTCATTATAAAAATTCTAGTGCTGTTTTGGTACCATTTCTAGGGACTTCTGACCAAATTTCCGGAGATTTCTGTGAAAATTTCGTATAAAAACGAAAAAAATTCACATGCTACTAAATAAAATTTGCCGTGCCGGCAGCGGAATTTTTTCCTGACCGTTAATTTTCCCATGCTAGTAGTTGAATTTTTAAAGAGAATTTCTCTCCGTGCTGACAAACGCTGAAGTAGAGGAGTAATATACTCCAGAACAATATATTTGCAATACAAAAAAAATTATTCATTATTGATAATTCCCTGTATGAATTCTAAATTTGATGAACGTGAGAAATTAATCCATCCAATTCATAGTTTGGCTATATTTGGCTCCACTTTCATGCACCCTGACGATAATTCTCATAATGGGGATTGAATTTTAATTTTTTTTCGGATTTTTCAAAATTTTTACAGATTCTAATCCTCTCCTCTATGTTATAATGGCCCTTGTAAATTAATTATTATCAATGATACCAGACTGTCGATCGAGCACAAACTTAACCAGAATGTTTCTATTCATATTAACTTCCGTTTAGAATTTATTTCGGATTTTAATTCCGAAAATTTGAACAGTATTTAGACTACTTTAATGACCACTCAGATCCTCATTTTTCCATCTTCAGGTGGATACAGAGACTCGTCGAATCAGTGGCATGCCCCCAACATAACCAGTGCCAAAGGTAAAAGATGTTAAAGGAATATCGACCCCAACTAACCTACGATCTCAGTTGATAGTTAATCGCACACGGCGGATTTTATACCGCGTGTCTATAAGCCCTCCTTTACCCCCTCGTCCAAATCCCCGTTGCCTCCTAGAGCTCCCTCACACGTAAAAATACAAAGTCTATCGTGCGAACCAACGGTAGTCACGACTCTGATTACCGAAGAGGGGGGCTGGGCTTGTAGAAAATAGTTGGGTGAGAAGGAGACAGTTAGAGGAAGGTGAACCCTCCTAGGTAATTGGAGAATTTTTCGACAATTTTTGGGTCAAAAGTGATTTATTCGAGTAACAGTGATTTTTTTTTCTTTGTTTAAAATTGAATTATTTTTATGAAGAGTAGTTTTAGAGGAAAAATGTCAAGAGATAGCTTTTGCAAATTCATTCGGGGATATTGCATTGATCATTCGTATTGGTAGATAATAAGAATGAACATTGGAGAATCTTTCAATTACATTATATTAATCCGATAAAATTTTTCATCGCCGATTTTTATTCTTTGCTCTTTTTTTAATGTTTTCTATCAAAATGTGAGGGTAGAAATTGAATTGGTGCGTATTCTCTCATTATTTGAAGAAGATATCAATTTTAAAACTTTCCGGAGACATTGAAAAATCGAAATTTTAATTTTCTTACTGATCATCTCTCTCTGCATTTTTCTCATTTCCTCTAAATGAAATCAATGATCTGATGAATGATCTGATTTCATTGAGATTAATTATTATATTATACTGATATTATTCAACATAAATATCTCTTCATTTGAAAATGAGAAAAACTGTTCCCACAATTTGTATACTATAATGGCAATAGAATCCAATAAATTTAACTTACGGAGCGCCCGTTCGCTGGTATATTTTAATCCCCTATTTTAATTTTATGCAAATTCATTCATCCGAGTAACAAGTAATGTTTTCGACTCGTTTAATGGTAAATTGTCTGGATAATGAGTGATTTTAGGGGAAAATGATCAAAAATTTTTATTGAAAATTCATTCAGATCAGGGATGGCCATCAATCTTGTGATTCCTCAATATTAAAAAAATTTCCGACTTACATTGATCAAGGCTTAAATATACTAATCGAAATTAAAAAATACTAAAATAATTGATAATCTAAATTTTCCATTGATGGTGAATCAAATATTCAATAATATGGATCTGTAAATGCTCTATCAAGTCAATAATGCTAAATTTCCTATAAGGGATTTCCGATCATCGAAATAATCGTCAATCTTCCTAACTAAATTACTGATTAATAAATAAGCCGGAATTGGAATATTTAAATTGACGATTACTTTAATAATTAAAATTGAAGAGTGATATTAACTAATTGACTACTTAATAATTTAACGGTAATGATAATTGATAGATATGGCTATCCCCGATTCAGCTACGAAATTATCTTTTGATATTTTTGTCCAAAATCGTTAGATTCTGAGGTGAATGGGATTAATTGTTATGATATTTTCCAGTTTGAACCACTTCTCATTAACAATTACTATTAATAAATACCGATACTAGAGAATTTTCAAACAAATTTTTGGACGAAGTCACTTATTCAGGAAAAAAGTGATTTTTCTTATCTCGATTAGTATTAAATTATCTCGATAATGAAGGCTTCCAGGGAGCAGTGTAAAAAAAAATATTGTAAATTCATTCTACTACGAAAATAGTATATTTCAGTACATGTGGGGCAATATCGTCTTCAACGTGTGTGGGGTTTACAGCATGAGCCGAAGGCGAGTGATATAACCACACACGTTTAGGACGAAATTTCCCAACAAGTACTGAACAAAATTTTATGTCGCGAAGCCTGAAACCGGGTGAATTAGACACGAGACGCGAAGCGTCGAGTGTGTAATCCTGCCGGTTTCAGGCATGAGTGGCATAAATATCTTTTCATGTTTCTATCCAAAATCATTGGATTCTGCGATAAATTGGATCAATTGTCAAAATGTTTCTCGTTCTATGAAAATTCTCGTTAATAATTCCCACCGACAACTAACAAAAACGAATCTGCTCTTCATTTTACATAATATAAGGCGGGAAAATACTCCGATGAGTGGGCATTATCCTTCAGTAACAATAATCGTTGTCGCGAGCATCGACCCAAGACGTTAAATTTTATGTAACGAGTCAGTCTCGTCAATGTAGAAAGGAAAATGGATTTTTTACCTCCGTATAATCATCGCACTGCACACACACTGTTACATCGAGATATCTCGTGCGATGTGGAGCAAAGAGTGTACACTAGAATTGATAGTGGGTGTGTACATAATCTTGTTGGAGGAAAAGATAGAAGAGTGAAAAGAGCTCTCATGCCCAGGGAACAATGTGACATTATGGTAAACGGCTGGACGTGCCATTGTCGTGGAGAACGCGTGTCACGGCGTAACGGCTGATCGTGAGCAACTCCGGGGAGTACCACTAAACTCTAACGACAAACCGAAGCTGGAGAAAATTTTGCTGGTATAAGTCCTCAGGCTTATGTATGCGAAATAAAAAATTAATGGGAGAATTTGCCAGTCGGAGGTTTTTTTTTGTTGAATATCACGCGCACACATGTATGCACTGAGAAAAAAAGTAGCTCTGCCGAAAAACTATGTTCCACGGGAGAATACTTGATGGAGTGGAACAGATTTACATGAGGGAAATTAACCAATTTGATAGAAGAAAATTTAATATCTTTCACAAGAATTAAATTTTCTGAAAATTCAAGAATACATCGCCGTTTTATAGTCACAGGGGCGTAAGTAGTGTGTACAATGGTAGTTGTTAGACCTCTTTAGCTCTACGACGTTACTTACCTGAATTTTCCAGACATTTATTAAATTATGAACCTGAAATTTACGGTTTCCCCTGATTTTTCCATAAAGTTTTCCATTTTTAGTGACGAAATTCCTCGAAATTTCAGTGAAAATATAATGTGATAGAAATTTCCACCAGTCTACACTGAGAGCAAAACAAACACGTTGTCAAACAAGTCTTGCTTGGACCAACAAAATCGCTAGTTGAAAATTGCCAAAAAAGAATTTGTTTGGTTCGAACTTGAAACTCTCAAATAAGAATAATTGTTCTGCTTTCGACAGCAACGAAATATTTGGCTCAAGAGGCGGATAATTCACACCAGACGGTGCCTTTTCAGGACGAAACTATCTCATATAGAGGAACATTTATCAACAAATAATTTATCCCTAAGTTACAAGATTGCTATCATATCATTATTATTGTTTCATTTAAGGGTTCGTTTCTTGTCTGTGATTATTAGATAGCTGAAACGAAAAACTATTCCCCCTTGTTTCGCATAAAACAAAGATTGTTCGGGAGTAAAATACGTATGGGAGTATCGAATAACGAAGGAGTAGTGCTAGAAATGACATTTCTTAGGTGCACAGAGAATGCAATTTTTTTTAACTACTAAATCGGTTTTTGCGACAAAAATTTTTCATTCCGGCGCACTCTCTGCATGTTTGACACAAAAAAATTCTTGTTTGATAATTTTTAAAAAAATATTTTCTTGGCACAAGTAGGACTTGTTTGATAATTTTATCGTTTTTCTCTCAGTGTACACTGGGAAAAAAAATTTCTTTTGCCAAGGAATCATTTTCTTGGGAGAAGGAATTATTTTTTAGGAGCTTATTTCCCTAAGCCAGTCATTGCCACGTGATCCATGTCCATCTCCAAATATTACAATTATGTTGAATAATGAGATGATTATGCTACATATATCTTGAATGAACACGCTTCATTATTTTTCAATTTTTTCAAATTCGAGGTTTTCTAACGTATAATAATTTGAAATAATTTTCAAGGTTAATAATTGTCAATGGAGTTCATTCAAGGTCATATGTAATATAATCATTCCATAATTGAACAT